GCAGGCTCGGGGGCTGCGGGGACGTTCCCCATTGCGTGTCCTCTGTGCTGCAGGCTCCGGGCTCTTGCCACGCGGGGCTGAATCGAGCCCCCCTGATTGCAGCGGGGCTCTGGGGCACGGCCCTCCTCCAGCCGCGCTGCTCCCTGCCCCGAGCTGAGCCCAGCCCGACTCCTTCCAGCAATGAGTGCGTGGCCCTGACCCCGGCTGTCTCCCCGCAGGTCCATGCCGGCTCGTGGGCTCTGAACCATGCTGGCTCCGTGGGCGCCGTCAGCGAGCCCAACCCCTTCACCGAGATAGCCATGAACAGCTGCAAGTACAATGGAGGCGTCGTCCGGCCCCTGGGCAGCCTGAGCGCCTCCCCCCGCCACCTCCCCGAGCTGGAGGCTGAGACCCAGCCCCTGCAGACCCTGCACAGCGCCGGCCTGGAGGCCGTGGTCTCCAAGCCGGAGCAGGCCAAGGTGTCGGACACGAGCGTGGACGCCGGGGAGGAGGACGAGGACGACGAGGAGGCGGCGGGAGCGGAGCGGGCCCGGCGGCAGCGCAAGAACCAGAACGTCGGGTACCGGCTGGGCCACCGGCGAGCCCTCTTCGAGAAGCGCAAGCGCCTCAGCGACTACGCCCTCATTTTCGGGATGTTCGGCATCGTCGTCATGGTGACCGAGACGGAGCTCTCCTGGGGCATCTACACCAAGGTACGGACCGGGCGCTGGGGTGGGGATGTCCCGGGCTGGAGCCGGACACCTCTGGGTGCCCAGGCTTGGGGCCGCGGCCGTGCTGCATGGTGGGTGCTGCAGGGTGGCATCACCCCGGGGTCTGCACACGCAAGTGCCCCACAGGCCTGCCAGCGTCTGCCTTCTGGGAGGAGGCACCTGCCCGAGCAGGTCCACGCATGGGTGTGCAAAGGGGCGGCTGGGGAAGGGGATGCTGAGAGCATCCAGGGGGCTGCTGGCCTGCATCCCCGGGCCCGGAGGCTGCAGTGTCGGCAGTCTCGTGTGGGCACGAGCATGGGGAAACCGGCCTACACAGGCCCATGCGTGTGCCCACGTGTGTGCCTCCATCTCCCCATGCCCCTGTCCCTGCCCCTCTCCTCTGGGCTGCACTGGGGATTCCTGGCCCCTGCCCTGTGCCAAGCCGGGGGCTGCTCCTTCCCACCCTGCCGTGGCCAACGAATGGTGCACCGATCCCTGCCGGCGCCGCCAAGCCCCGACACTGTGGTCACGAGGGTTGAAGCAGGTGCCAGGAGGTCGCTGGGGAAGGCCCGGGCTAGGTGGAGACCTTCCCCTGGTCAGTGCACCCCTGGGTGCAATGGGTGCCGTGGCATCCGAGTGGCACCGTGGCTTAGCTCCCTCTTGGCCGGGCCCCGCAGCCTGGAGGGACATAAAACCCTGCCGAAGCCCCTGAGCTCTCTCTGCAGAGGAAGCTAGAGCTCGGCTTGGATCCACGGGAGCTGGGATCCGCTGTGTGACCTGGGGCGAGCCTCTGTGCCTCAGTTTCCCCATCTGTGAAATGGAACGCTCTCCGTGATGCGTTGGCAGAGGGAGAGGCTGGCAGGGAAGCCCAGCCTAACGCAGCTGCCCTCTGTCTCGCAGGAGTCGTCATACTCATTTGCACTGAAATGCCTTATCAGCCTGTCGACCATCATCCTGCTGGGCCTCATCATCATGTACCACGCCAGGGAAATCCAGGTGAGTGGCTCCTCTGGCCCCCAGCGGGGCAGGGAGGGGCCCAGGCAAGGCTGGGGGCAGCGTGAAACCCGGGGGGGATCCTCCTGCGGTGGGCAGGGGCAGACTCCGGATCGGGGCCCCCCTTGCTCCCATCTCACCTGCAGCTTGAGGGCGTTGGGATCCGGGGTCACACGGCTGCGGGGTCTGTGCATAGGGGCAAGGTCATGGAAATCCCCGGGCTTCTCCTGTGAATCATGTTTGCACCCCCAGCACAACGTGTGTGACACCCCGCAGCACCCTAGAAAGGATCTCAGGGCGCCATGTGGGTTTTTAATGCTCCTCAGGCCATTACCGTCAGACTCAGAGCTAAAGCTGGCTCCTGTCCATGCCACGTGTGCCCCTTGGAAAGGGTTTTTCCAGCCATTTAAGGAGGATTTATGGATAATAACACGGTGCTTTTTCCTTGCTAGAGTTACTGGACTCCAAGCAGAGTCCTGCTGCAATAAGACACTGAATTCCCCCCAACGAGCAAGTGACCCCAGGCGGTCACGGACTCGCATTGCACGTGGCGCTGGGCATGGCCGTGTCCGTGTCTGCCGAGACTCGGGGCTTCGGTCTGGGGCTTTTTAAAGGAGCGTGAGAGACGTTTGGGAGCGAAGCTGCTGCGCTGACTCAAACGGAAGACTTTTTGACCACTTCCTTCCCGCAGCGTCTGTAACTCATGCGCTGCGGCCCGGAGCCAGCGGGTAACCGAGGGGCTTCTCTCTGCCCCGATTCCGTTGTCTTTGAGCCTGGACCTGCACGTGGCCAGACACTGAGTTGTAAATCCCCCGTGAAGCCCATCGTGCTGCTTGCAGCTCGGCCCAGCTGGGATCCAGGCCATGGGGCCCCTTTCCCATGGGTGTGCAACCCCCACCCCATAGGGTGTTTGCAGTGTGGACGCAGCTCGGGGGTCCTGGCGCACCAGTGCCTTCCCCCAGCGCACCCGGGATGCAGGTGTGTTGCCGCCTGAGGGCTCCCCAGGTGCAAAGCAGCAGAGACGCTGGGTCCGTGGGGGCTCGCAGAGAGCAGTTGCTGTGGGATGACTGTCAAGGGACCCTGCTGTGGCTCCCCCATACCGCCCTGGGGCTCTGGGGGCCGGGCCGGCGAGCTGCCTGCAGCCTGGGTGAGCACCAAGGAGGATGGAAAATCCCCGCTCGGGGCCTGGGACGCGGCCCGCGGCTGCTGGCGCAGAAGCAGCTGCGCGCGGCGACTCCGGGCCGGGCGGGCGCGCGCTCATTACTCAGCTCAGCAGCTCCAGCTGTTGCCGGTGCCGCAGAGGCATCCATCTTCCCTCAGGCTCCTCTCGCATCCTGCTGCTGCTCCCAGCACCAGCCAGGCCCGGGAGGAGCCCGGCAGAGTCCCGGCGGCGCTGTCATCGCCCGTGGAAACTCTGTCGTGGGCTGGCGTCATCACCGTGTGCGCCGGGCTGGCCGGGATGGGGAGCAGAGGACATGCATCCATCCTGTCCCTGTCTCCTTGCACCTCCTCTGCCCTCTCCATCCCCCGGTGCCCGCAAGCTTGGCCCCAGGAGCAGAGCGCCCTGCTCTGCCACTGACTCATAGGGTGACCATTGGTGCATCACTTAGCCCAGGCTCTTGAAGGGTGTGGGGCCATTCATGCGAATATTCACCCCCTCCCCCCACATGGGGGGAGCACCAGCTGCTCATGCTGCGCTGGCCCCAATGGGTCCCCAGCCAGGATCAGGGTCCTGTGGTGCAAGGGGCAGCTCGGACCGTCTGGCCTGTGGAAGACCCCAAGGGGGGTGGGGAAGTTGGGGGCAGATCTCAGGGCTCCTGCGTCCCAGACGGGGGTGTCATGTCCTCTGGCCTCTCACCGACCTCCCCCGCTCCCCCCACAGCTCTTCATGGTGGACAACGGGGCAGACGACTGGAGAATAGCCATGACCTATGAGCGGATCTTCTTCATCACGCTGGAGCTGCTGGTGTGCGCCATCCACCCCGTGCCGGGCCAGTACATCTTCACGTGGACGGCGCGCCTGGCCTTCACCTACACCACCTCGGTGGCGGACGCCGACGTGGACATCATCCTGTCCATCCCCATGTTCCTGCGGCTCTACCTGATCGGGCGCGTCATGCTGCTGCACAGCAAGCTCTTCACCGACGCCTCGTCCCGCAGCATCGGGGCCCTCAACAAGATCAACTTCAACACCCGCTTTGTTATGAAGACCCTCATGACCATCTGCCCCGGCACTGTCCTCCTGGTCTTCAGCATCTCCTCCTGGATCATCGCCGCCTGGACCGTCCGCGTCTGTGAGAGGTGAGCCGGCGCCGTGTCCCTGGGGGCGGTGCTGGGAGGCAGGCTATGTGGTGCAGCTGGCAGCATGCTGAGCTCCCGTGGGCAGAGCAGGGCCGGGGACCCCTCGGGGCAGGAGTCCGGGCGAGGGGCAGCTACCCTCCGGGCAGCCCGGAT